CAGTGCTGTTGACTACGAATAAAACCTCAAAAAAAAACAGAACAGAGATTTGATGTTTTTCAGAGGATAGTAAAGTAACTTTAAGATAATTTTTAAATTACTTCCATTATTTTAAGAAATAGTAAGGAACTATTAATGTGACTATATTTTAATATTAATACTTTCTTATATTTACGCGAATATTTGACATTTTAAATAAAACTATCTTTTCGGATTATTTCGCGGATTTATTTTGATTTTTGGTTCCCGACGTTTCTCTCTCGTAACCATGAGCTGTAAAGCATTCGAAACGTCGGAAACCAAAAATAAAAATAATCTATATCTATATAAATAATAATAATCCGAAAAGATAGTTTTGTTAAAAATATTTTAATATTGTTAAGCGTTGTGAGAAGGTACTTTTCATCAAGATTGCGTTAAGACTGGTCGCTTTTCCGCAATTTAGTCATTGTGCTTCTTACATTACAATGGCGGTGGAAAGGAAACTGTATTGTTTTATTCCGTTAGTATTTTATGTTGCAATTGTTTGCGAGGCAAGCTTGTAATTGGTTTAAAACTATTGAAGTGCCGTAAGACACGCATTTCCATAAACAAAATTGGGATATTGTTATAAACTTGCTGTTGAATTCGAAAGATTATTTAAGTTAGAATTAATTAATTATTATTTAAATGTAGAGTGTTTTACAAGGTACGAAAAATTTGTATTGTAATTCTCTTTAACTAGTTTTTGAGCTAGTGAAATAGTCCATACAGCATATTTATGTTAAAAAGTAGAATGATATTTTTCTATAAAATCAGGGCCTAATGAAATTTTAATGGCAATAGTAATGCAAAAAGACTAGGTAATATAGAAAAACTTCAGTATTTAACCATGTTCGAACTTAAAAACGTAGCTAAGTTTAATTCAATCAGCTCTGCAGATGACAGCTTTAGTTTAAACTCTGAATCATTATTAGCTTCTTTTTCTTCATCGTAGTTAACTCTCTGTAAAAATATTTTTTTTTTCTTTAGTGGCTTAGTTGCGTTAAAAATAATATATGCTGTAATCCTAAAAGGGCCCACTTACATATGCCGGGAGGATAAGTATTACTTAAAGGTATCCTTAATATTAGAGTAGGTTTGCGGGATTTAGAGCTTGGTTTGACACCTCTGTTGCTTTCTCGATCTCTAAATAACAAAACTAAGCACCCATCCTCACTGGAAACAAATAGCCGACCTTTTGCCTTCTTTATGAGACCCTTGTTAACTTGTCCTTAATAAATTATTTATATTCCTCCACCTACAGACACTGTATATTTGGAGCGCGTAGATTTTTTAAAGATGTTATAAGTCCATTTTAAATTACTTGGTATGATTTATTTCTTTATAAATTTGTAGAATAAATTTTATTTTTATATAAGACTAAAATTACTTTCATTTAAGACTAAAATATACTCTTTATTTTGATCGGTTTAGAAAATATTTGATATAATACAATTTTAATAAAGGAAAAAGCAATTCGGACACAGAATGAAATTTGCGGTTTGACCCATTTCTAATCAATTATACATTATATGGTCGTAGTAAAATGTATTCATTGTTATCTTTATATCTAACTAGCAGAACCCGCGGCTTTGTTTGTGCTAAAACTACAACAAAAAAGGTCTTAAAAACTTAAAAATAAATAAATAAAAACCAACTCCCAGGCACTAAAAAGTAATGACCTCCCGACCGAATTGGGCCACGGCGGCCAGTCTCATTGAGACTAGCCATCTGCGCAGGAGATATTATAGTGCACAAGTGTACGCGCAGACACAAGTGCACTCTCTATTCCTGTCACGTTCATACTCCGATAGGATGACAACTCGACACAACCAGTGAGAGTTAAGGCGCAGGACCGACGGCTTTACGTGCTCTCCGAGGCACGGGGGTGAAACACCGACAAATTGCCAACTCCGGGCTGTTACTGAGACTTACTATACAGAAAGACTCAATAACTAAACTTGGCCCGACCCGGGACTTGAACCCAGGACCTCCGAGTGTGCAGCCGTACATGCTAGCCACTACACCACCGAGGCAGTTAAAGAACCTGAGAAGTATATACCCTATGAAACAAAAAAAGAAATGGATGAACATACATAAAAAAAAGATTCCTATGAATTGAGGACCTCCCCCTTTTTTGTACTCGGTTTGAAAAAGGTAGGTTTAATAAAAACTTTCATGCCCCATTTTATCCTCTTATGGAATTTTGAAAAATGCTAGAACATTTATTTGATTGTATTGACGAGCATTAATACCAAATTAGTAAACTAAATATTTTTTTTGGTTGTATTATAACATGTATTCTCGTGGGGATGAGATAATCTCCCGTGGTTAAATTAGCTTATGTAGTGACATAGGCTACTTTTGTGAAGATAGTTGGAGGGCTAGAGAGTGAGTGTGCCCTCCAACTATCTTCACACGAAAAATCACGCCGATCCGTCACTCTGTTTCGACGTGAAAGAAGGACAAACAAACACATTTTCACATTTATAATATTAAAAGAAAAGCATGGCTATGAATGTAAAATGTCAATTCCGTTTCTATGGCAATATTATCGTATATTATTAAGTACATAAAAAGTAGGTAAAATGGTTTAATAATATCGCTTATTGCAAAATCTTTACATAGTATAAAATAAAGTCGTTTCCGCAGTCTGTTCGCTCAGATCTTTTAAACCACTTAAAGGATTTTAATGGAGTTTTCTGCAATAGATAGTGTGATTCAAGAGGTAGTTTTATATGTATAATACATGCATATTATAGTACAGAACAGCCGAAAAATTTAAAGATTTGTATTACATACTAACCGTTAAAACGTACCTAGGGACGAACCCGAGCGAAGCGAGGGTGAATCGCTGTATAAATATAAATGAATGAATAAAATATTTTATATAGCTCATCTGAAATCACATCAACATAGATATAAGAATTACATAATTCACATAATTGGCAAATCCGTTTCATATAACACAAAGAAAGTAATAAATTATGATATACGAATGAATCGCACTTATTTTACCGACCCACAGAATTAATTGGATAATTTCGAACTTTGCTACAATATTCATAAGGGAGAGAATGCATCAATACGATACTCTAAGTCCACGAACCTAATTGACTCTACGGGATCTCGTACATTAAACAAATTACTTTATATAACAAAAGGAGACGTTAATTTTAATGGTTATACATATATATTATTAAATTCGTCTAAGTTGCAATGAAATTACGACTAACACTGAAATTCTAAAATAAACATGGAAGCTGATTTAAATATGAACGTTGAACTTTTATCGTACCACTTTGTTTAATTTACTCAATATAAATGAGTTGTATTTGCATTTAATTTATAAATAAATTTGTTTAATAACAATTAAATTGTTTTATTAGATATCATAACTACATATTATAATAGCTAATGTAGCTAGGTACATATAAAGATAACATACTCGTATAGTTAAGAAAGCATGCTTATGAAAATGTGTGCTTATGCATAAATGCAACAATAATATGTCGTTACCTTTTAAGGCCTAAAAGTGACTTAATAGAAATTAATGATGGGTATTCAATAAATTAATTACAATTTTTGTGTTATGTGTACCATTCTTTGAATAATAAATTTATATGGACTTTTTCCTTTTTGGATAGGAACGTGGTTTAAGGGCTTGCTTTAATAGGGGCTTTAATAGTATATGGGAGGAAAATACATATATAAATAAACTAGCGGCTCACCCTCGCTTCGCTCTCTGAAAAAGCATAAACAGATCTATCCCACGGGAACTGTTCATTTTTCCGGGATAAAAAGTAACCTGTTGTTTGACCGGCAATATAAGGTATCAGCATGCCAAATTTTACTAAATTAGGTATATAAGTTGTTGTGTACTAAGATGTATAAGTTACTATAGATTTTTAACCATCCCACGGAAAATCTTTAATTTTCCGAGATGAAAAGTGTCTAAAATGTTGACAGGGGATACAAGGTACCACCGTGCAAAATTTCATTTAAAACAGTCCAACAGTTTGGAAGATTAGCCCGTACAAACAGACAAACAGACAGAAAAACAAAGAAAATGAAAAAAAACTGGATTTGTTCTATTTCTCTTCTTACACCTCCGTGACTCAGTTTTAAGCATTTTTTTCTGAAAAATAATATTTTTAATTTCACATTATCATTATTAAGATTAAAAATAGCTTTCCAAATCATTTTTTCTAGAAAATATTAAAAATAATTCTTAACATTGCTCTTGATCGCTAAATTCAATTTTTCTATAAAATAAAATGTTTGTCTAATAAAGAAGTTATCTGAGAATAAAGATTTACGTACATAATAAAATCCGTTAGCTTTTTTTTATTAGCATTTATTTACTTTCAATATACAAATTGTCGTTTGTAATACTATTTTAACGTATATTGTTTGGCTTCATGTTTAGTTCTATGACACTCTGTCTAGGAAGCCCGGGCAAGAAGCATAGTGTGGGTAAGAAGAATAACTGATTTTTCTAGAAATATATAATAGATAGCGCTATAACACTTTCTCAAGTCGTGACATGTGCGACCAGTAACGCCATGACAGTTTGACCAAAACAATACGCGAGTGCATTTTTTGTAGAAGGAGAAAAAAAGGATTTTCGTTGTTTTGTTACGATTTTTGTGAAAATTTGTACACAAAATTTTTGTATTAGTCATCAGTTGCCTATGAATATTTTTGATTATTTATTTGCACGTTTATTTAAGTATCATTAATTGTAATCGTTACTTTTTGTTTACTACTAAAACATTTCAAGTCTTGACTTGTTCTAATATTAGCGTGTTGGGCAAAACGGATATGGGCAAAACGGATATCTATCCGTTTTGCCCGGTTAGTTATTTCATTATCTCCTTTTTAAGTAAGAAATATTTTAACAGTTTTTTGACAACTAATGTTAATTCTATACAGATCTCATCTTTAAATGCACCCAGGCCGTATTATAAACCTCTGATATGGCAAAACTATTTGGCGTAGCATACGCCAAAAGTGCTTTGGTTCAGAATGCATCTATGATCCAAATGTTTTTGGAGAAGAAGATCATGCTCGCTCCTTCAACTATGACCGACCGTACTCTTCCTGACGCACCGTCTACTAAGACCGAAGGTCCTGTAAATGATCACCGTCGACAATGACCAAAGATCTTTTTAATGATACATCGACTACTATGATCGACTGAGCTTTAAATGATTGTCCAGCAACAGCAATAACGACTGACCCGTGTCTACTTGAAATCGCATCTGTTATCGCAAAGTACGCAGTAGCTGAATCTTACACACAGTTCGTTATCATTGTAGAAATAGAGACTAAAAGGTTTAATAAACTACACCTTTGCCTGATTCCAATATACTGGAAGAAGAATCAGCTCATTCACTAGGAATTCACTAGAAAATCATCCAGCGCTTGCAGCGAGCCTTACGCCATTTCAGATTAGATCTATTCCAACTATGGCTGCTCCTAAAACAGGCCGCAAACACAAGAGGCAGGAATCAGAAGTGTTGACGTCTACTCCCGTCAAAGCTGAACAAGCATTTAAGTTTAAGAAGGCAAATATTAAGAAGACCAAGATTTCTGAGTTAGAAGGCCCCAGAAAAACTAAAACTAAAAGATCCTCAGTCTAACAACAAAACAAAAACCCGAAACCAGATTTTACTGTTTAGTGTGCGCTGACAAATACACTGAACCACCAGCGGAAGATTGGATTCAGTGTAATGAGTGCAAAAGTTGGGCACATGAAGATTGTAGTTCTTATGTAGAAGATGGCAGCTACTTCTGTGATGAATGCGAAGACAGATCTGAACTAATTTAACATATCCTTTTTGCCCTTGTGGCGTATCCGTTTTGCCCGACCCCTCCGGGCAAAACGGATAATTTGTACTTTTTGTAAAAGCTCATAATTATTATAGGAATTGTCAAGGTTTTATAATTTAAATGATTATTTTCCAAAGATGATTAAACATAGTACAAAATAAAAGTACAAATAATTCAATTGATTATTAAAATTGTGGTTTTATTTACACTATTCCTTAACATATGCGTCTTGCCCGGGCTTCCCCTATATGTACATATAATATTAACTTTAATTTCAATTTTATGTATTAACTTATTATTATTTTTAAAAACTGCCTCGGTGGTGTAGTGGCTAGCATGTACGGCTGCACACCCGGAGGTCCTGGGTTCGAGTCCCGGGTCGGGCCAAGTTTAGTTATTGAGTCTTTCTGTATAGTAAGCCTCAGTAACAGCTCGGAGTTGGGAAGTTGGCGGTATTTCACCCCCGTACCTCGGAGAGCACGTAAAGCCGTCGGTCCTGCGTCTTAACTCTCACCGGTCGTGTCGTGTAGTCGTCCCACCGGAGTATGAGAGTGATAGAAATAGAGAGTACACTTGTGTCTGCGCGTACACTTGTGCACTATAATATCTCCTGCGCAGTTGGCTAGTCTCAATGAGATTGGCCGCCGTGGCCGGAATCGGTCAGGAGAACATCATTTTTAAAAACTAAGCTTGCACCTATAATTAAAAAAACATTTATGAAACTGTTAGCACATGAGTACCATACCGCTTTCAACGTATCTTTTGTTGGTTATCCTTAAATAAATAAATAAATATATTATCCCTTAGTATGAGTTATCCATAAGTATGTAGGTGACATATAACATTTAACATAATATATTTAATTTATCATATTTATATATTAAACTTTTCATTTAATATTAGGTATTTATATTTCATTTAATGTTTAATTTATGTATTAATATCATATACACACATCTACATACATACATACATACCACACGTACACTAAATTATTTATATTTATTAATTATTATTTACGCATATTATTTATTTAATTCATAAGCATAGCCGCGCGAAATCCGTGTTATACGCCAGATCGGAACTTGTTCGTTTCCTACCGGCTATTTGTGATTTGTATAAAGCAGTCAGTCGATGGTTTGTCACCTGATGCTAATTAGTTTTTTTATATAATTAAATCGTTTTCGTCAGTTATTACTCGTATATCCGGACGTCTTGTGTTTGTACTGCAACCTTTTATACTACTGTGTATCTCTCTAACCTTTCTCTTCTGTACTATCTTTCGTGTGTGTTGACTTTTTGATTATTATTTATTAATCCCTCCATGACCGCGACCACGCCGGCGTTACAGTTAACAATAGATTTCTTAGAAATTTAATAAATTTCTTGAAAATTTACCTGGAGGTGTTAAATGACGTAACAAAGCCTTTTATTTATGTTCACTCGTCACGCCTTACAACAACCACTAAAAGTATTTTAAATTTAAACCTAATAACAAGACTTAATCTAATAAAGAGTCTTAAAAGGGACGTAATATGTATTCATCTAAGAATAAGAAGGATAAATGGCAAATGACGAGTATATTTGCCGGAAAGATTTTCCGTTCTAGTCACACGAAGAAAATGCGCATGATTTATCAGCACTCGAGGCCGGACCTTCCGCTGCTATAAATTTTATTGTGTTATGATTTAGGACCCTGTATACGATTTCGTACTTTACTCTTTGTATGCGTAATTTATTCCCTGATAGGTTTTTAGGTCAATGCGAGACGCTGTCAATATTTGATATAAAAGGCATTTCCTTTGAATTAGATTTTGTTGTTTTGCCACCTTTTTAAGGGTGTTTTTCGGACCAAACTGACATAAAGAGAAATATATTTCTGACTTACAATAAGCATAACTTTTCTTTAAATGTACATACAATATACTAATTGAGTGTTATGATTTATTTACATGATTGTACATATATATGTAGTATACAGGTACATCAATATAGACTCCACTGATTTAGATTATAAATCTGTTATGCACCATCTACTCCCCATTACTTAAACAACTTCACCCATATGTATAAAAGTTATCTACAATATCTAATTAAATTATAAATGTTTGTATATGCAAAATCTGAAATCTCCGAATTTTCATCGATTGCTTTAAGATAGTGAGGCATATAATTATTATGTTGTTACATGGTTTTTACTCTATTTTGCTGTAAATGTAGTAAATGGCATCGCAGCTGATAATCTTTTACACGCCTTGAAAATTAGTGCTCGTAGATTGCCATTAAAGTTAGCTCGTATTTAAAAAGGAAATAAAAACATGTTTTAAACTTACGTATAAATAGGTTTACTTAAAAACAGTAATATATAATTTGTTGAACTTCTAAGAGCAAAATATTGGGCATTTATTTTGAGTAAATATATCGTCTCCAGACTAACATAAATCACATAAATCAGATAATCATTTTACTATGTCAATATTTCTAAATTTAACTTTATGAGTATAATCTTTTGTTTTGTTTCTAAGTCGATTCGACTAAGTTATTATATTGGGTTATATTTATAAATGAAACAATTGTTATTCAACAGTAGGGATACGTACCTGACTGGTACTGCCTACCACGTCGATGGACATAATAATGTAAATAGATTTAATCTATATATACACGGTTAATTTCATATAAATATTATATTATATAAATATTATTATAATTTCATATAAAATTTTGACGTATTCCTGTTAAGAGGCGATAGGGGAGTCTATTTGCGATAATTTTAACCCCCATGTGCATCATGCAAAACTGAACCATTTTTGAGTTATCATATTTTTTAGCTTTTTTTTTAAATATGACAAAAATTTCTGCCGCAAAGCCGCGGGTTCTGCTAGTTTCTATTATAAAGGCAAATTGAATAGGGATGGGTAATAATACAGCAAGTTATTTTTTTCCCTCTGTCTACTTAGTGAGAGGAAAATAGAAAAAGAAGGATAAAACACAATATCACTCAAGCAGATAAAATAAAAGTAATAAAAGATAAATACGTCAAAAATTATTCTATTAAGCTGTTAGAATTTTATTTCTCTTATTGCTTATAAATCTGTTCATTTAAAATTTACTGTAAGGGAAAATATAGGAGCAAATAAAAATAAATAATGAAAGAAACACCCAAAGTGTAAATATTTATTGGTGCAGAAAGAAAAATAAAAGCCTAAATAATGATACCAGTAAAGGTTAAGGCTATTTAATGTCTTGTTTTCGTTGTATAGTTTTATATTGTAATTTTTTATGCTCTTAGGAGCAAATAAAAAATTGTTAAAATAACTTAAACGTATAGCTTAGAAAAACCCAATAGGTGCAATTTGACAAATTTAAGATATCCATACTTTAATATTATAAATGTGAAAGTGTGTTTGTTTGTTTGTCCTTCTTTCACGTCGAAACGGACGTTGTTTTTTTGTGTGGAGATAGTTAGAGGGCTGGAGAGTAACATAGGCTACTTTTTACTTCGTGAGATTATCTAACTCCTATGGGATAACACGTTATAATACAATCCAAAGAAATATTTATGATCAGAATTACTTGAAACTTGGTATTAATGCTCTTCAATAAAATTAAATAAATACTTGTTTTAGCATTTTTCAAAATTCATCCTATAAGTGGGTAAAATAGAGGATGAAAGTTTGTATTAAACTACCTTTTAGAGATTTTATTGTTGTTTTGGCGCAAGCGAAGCCGCGGGTTCTGCTAGTCGATTATAATTTGCGAAATTAAGAATATATTAAAAATTGTCCATAAAATTAAAGAATTTCAGAAATTCGGTCAGTATGTTTTATTATATCACAAAGGTTTTTAAGTGATACTAATTGTCAGCAAGCCATTACCACAATGGAATGAGATAATTTAATTATAGATATACCAAGTTACAAGAGTAACAATTAATGCGATTTTAAATGTTTTATCATATGCGTGCAAGACTTTAGAATTTGCTAATCAAAATGTTTTATTATTGAAGAAAGTAAAAATTCCTAACTTTCTCTACACAAGTAGGTACATTACATTCACTTAACAGCGTAATATACCATTTAAAGACTATCTTTGCATATTTATGTTGCTCATGCGATATAATAAAGCGTCATAAAGTAAGCTACATGGCTAAGAGGCAGCCACTCACTAACCCCTAGAGAACTATGTTGAGCCTTTCTAATCCTCTTACTACAAGAGACCTTCGCCCTGTCCGAGAAGGCATTGCTTTGTGAAGTAGAATAAAATAATCTCCATGCTTTATACAAGTGATGATCGTCTAACATTCTTTATATATTTCAAATTCAGTGATTTAAGAGTAAAATAAAATATTTTAGATGGCGTAGGCGTGAGTTAGCAAAATTTCATACCACGTGCTGTACGTAGAAGGAATAAAATTACTTCACTCTATTCCCCATGAGGGCGAAATATGTAACGTGTACTGAAAAATATAGCAAATCATCGCATTTTGTACTTAAGTTGTGAATTTCTTATAATACTTAAGATTTTTTTTTTAGTTAAAGCCATAAAATTTTGGCCATGGCGGAATGATGTAATATGAGAATTCTTAAACCGATCGGGAAGTTTAATGCTTTGCAGGCATCCCAAGTAGTACAAGTTTCAACATTGTACAGTATCTCGTCAATATTTCAGCCGTTTGAAATATCCTTCAGAGTAGCCTGCCACTCATAACTGCAGCCGCATACCTAAATTTCTAGAGCTCAACACAATCGATTCGCAGTATTTCATAAAAGTGTATTGAATTAGTTGCCAAAAATTATAAAATCGT